TAGACTTGGAAGAGTCTGCCACTGAGATGAGCAAGGCTGTCGATACATTCATCACTCACAAGGTTGACATCTTGGCTACCAAGAAGAGATTTGATGCACCATTGAAACAATTTGTCGCTGATAAATTGAGGGCGAAAGCTGAAGGAAATTTCCTTTTCATCTCTCTTGCTTGCAAGGAACTCTTGAAAAAGAACGTTTCATTCATCAATGTCAAGCTTGTGCTTGGAAAATTCCCTACTGGACTTGATGCATTATATGCCAGAATCCTCGAGGGAGTTTTGAAGTTGGGTGAAGAAGATCAACAAAAGGCCTTTTCAGTCTTCCGTGCAGTTGGTATCGCTTTCAGACCTCTCAGTCTTCGCGAACTTGCTGTCATGGCAGCTTTCCCTGCAGCAGCCATGGACGATGAAGACATTGTTTTGGATGCTGTGGAATTATGTGGATCATTCTTATCATTACACCGCGATCACCCATACTTTGTCCACCGCTCCGCAAAGGAATATCTCCTCAACCACGAAACAGCCGGTATCTTCTCCTCGGATCTCGAGTTTGAACACGAAAAGGCAGCTTTCAGAGCTCTCAAATACACAACCAGAGATTGGAAGTATTATCTCGAAAGTCTCGAAGATGTTCCACTCTCTTCATTGCAAGATCAACCTTCCTCAGAGGACAGTCTTCAATATCCTCTCATCTACTGGATCAACCACAGCAACATTGCCGGATCCCGCATGATGAAATCTTACGCCCTCGACCGTCATTTCTTCCGTCGCAACTGCGATCTCCGCCGTACCTGGCTCCTCTACTTCAAAAAGCACCGCCACATGACCAACTTCTCCGCCATCCAAAATGTTCATTTCTCCGCCCTTCACATCTCAGCTGTATGCAACACCTGGTGGGTTGCCGAGATCCTTCTCAAGAACAGCAGCACCTACATCGACGTTGAAGACTCCTTCGGACTCACTGCTCTCCACTGGGCCGTGCACTGTGGAAACACCTCAGTCGCCAAGATCCTCCTCCAGAAAGGCGCCGACCCCAACCACAAAGGCGGAACCACCGATTACCAAAATGGACCTCGCGAAGGCACACCGCTCGGTCTTGCCATCTCCTACAACAACCTCGACATGTCGAAATTACTCCTTGCTCACGGTGCCGATATCGACTGTCCAGATCATCACTTCACCACCCCGCTGGTGTGGACCATCCGCAAGAATCTCCCCAAATCGACAAAATTCCTTCTGCAGCGAGGCGCGGATCCCATCCTCAGGGATGAGGAGGGAAAGACTCCACTCCACGATGCGTGTGCGAGAGGTCATGAGAATATCGCCAAGATCCTCCTCAATCACGGTGCCGCCCCCGATGCAAAAGACGATAGGGATGTAAGTCCTGCTGGAGATGCGTGGACCGGGGGACACAAGGGATGTATCAAATTGTTAGATGCATATGGAGTCAAGACTCCAGAGGCGGATATGGAAGAGGAGAGTAAATGGGGAAAAGGGGGTGATCTACTGGCTGCGTAGATGAGGAGATGAATTCATACATACACGTGTGCGGGAAAGGATAAATAAAATGCATCAAAGGAAGTAACGGATCGGATGGGTTATGGATAGTATATAAGGGACTTGGGTTTGTTGCGAAAGATACCATATAGAATTACATTTGAATCCCGGATTCGGGACAAATATCATATCGTTAGATGATTAGATTAGATTAGATTAGCTTTTTGGGATTAGATTGAATAAATTTATAGATACCATAGATAAATGTCAGCTTGTTCAGATGTGAAAGATGAATTTAATCTTTATCCTATCAGTTACCTATTTCTTACTCTTGATGGTAGTGTAGGTAGTGTATATCATGTAAGATAGATGAGCGAGTGTTCATCGAGATAAAGGGGAATTAGTGAGTATTGAGTAGTGTATTATACACATTACAATATAGATGAACAGACACCTCGATTATGCGAAGTCGCTTACGGGAATGAATATCGATTGTTTAGGATATAGGATCTTTCATACCCAGAGTGGAGGCGGGAGATGGATGGGTTGATATGATCAAGACACGATTGGTTTGAGTTCTATTTATACATTTATGATTATAATTATTTATATACCTCCTGTCTCATTTCCTTTTGTGACGTATTATTATGGAATACCTGGGTACCTAGTACACTAGATACCCAACACCACTAGCACCAGACGAACAGGTCCTAGCATTCATTTATCCCTCTTTCATTCTCGCATTCGAATCTCCCCTCGAAAATTCGTGTCTCCGTATCATCACTGGTCTCGCCATCACTACCCACTCCTCTTGTCACCTTCCAACCGTCATCAATTTATTTTACTTCCCCGCTCAATCTCAATCTCCATCTCATCTCATCCCATCCCATCCCATCCTATCTCAAGAAACTCTAGCATAGGTATTTATTTCCCCACATCCATATCCGCATCAATATCCGTATCCTCTCCCCCGCATCCCCCTCCCCCCCAACCAAGCCAATCCCCACTTCATCTTCAACTCGCGCCCTCCTTCCCGTCTTCTTTTCCGCCGCTCGAGAAATATACCTCCATTTTCCACTCCTGCAAGATTGGAACTCTCCTCTGAATCGATATCATGATTGTCGAATGATGACGAGGATGACGAGGATGAGGAAGATGCACTTCCCCCGCTATCTACATCTGGATACATACAGCTAGGACACGGACACTCTTCATCTTTTCCCCCTTGGGATATCTCAGTGAGGAGTTCTCGTTCTTGTTCTTGTTCATTGCGGTCGTTGCGCCTAGATTTTGATTTTGATCTATTTTTTCGAGGATATCTGGGCTGTTTGGAGCGAGATTTGGAGGATGCAAGTGGTGAGTAGGGAGATAGAGACGAGGATGGATGGGAGAGGGAGATGAAAGAGAATGAGCGTGTTGTGAAGGCCATGATGAGTTGTGTTATGCTCGATTAGATAGGGTTGGTGTTGTATGTTTATGTATGCTGTAGGCAAGAAATGGAAAGGTGATATATTCGATGAAGAAGTATGTATATGTATCTCTTGCCATACAATTGTGAAAAGAATGTGTCAAAATATGGAACTTTGGCGATGACGATATATATCTTCAGTAAATAAATAGAGCAGAAGTGAGATGAGATGTCAATATATATTAAACATTACGAAAGGGAATACAGATTATTAATTCCCCTCTCATCCCCGCCCCCCTAAAAACCCAATTTACGAGCTCAATACTTCAACAGAAGAACAAAAAAGGATATTCGACACGAGACACGTGCAAACAAACAAACAAACAACTACGCATTCAGCTTCCGAAAAACCATCCAAATCTCCATCCATTTCCCCGGTAAGTAAGACGCATTCCGAAAATGTACTTTTGAGTCTTAATTCCTATCGGAATTGAGTCTGAGTTCTCAATCCATTATGCATGCATGTATACATATACGAATTCAAGTCCCCTTCTTTCTAAGCGATCACATTTAGTATCATATCATATATGCATCGATATCGCAGGTAATCATAACTGTAGTGATTTCCCTCTACCGACAAATTATTCAGTTTCGTACACATTCTTCTTTCCTTCCTTCATTCACCCTTCCTATCCACCAGAACACAGCTTATCATCCTCCATCACTATATTCCTCATCATCATCTAGCAATCTTCCTCTCATCATTATCCCCATAACATGCATGCATACACAAACCAACCAATCAACCAACTCATCGAAAAACACAAACACATATCTCAAAACTCCCACGCGCATGCAAGAAAGAAAATCAGTCGGCGATATGTGTTTTTCTTCTCGTCCTCGGAAACATATCGAAGATAGATAGGTAGTGTAGTGTAGTTATGTTGTGCTATGTTGTGCTATGCTATAGTACGTATGGCATGAACGTGACGGTGAAAACAAAACAAACGGCCGAGATGACTTTTAGGAGTTGTGTAACGTGATATGTGGTGAATGGAAGGGGGTTGATGGCGATATCGGAGTGAGGGAGGAAGGGGAAGACGAAGAGGAAGAGGAAGGAAAAAGGAATAGGAATCTGGGCGTTGAGGTTTGCATGTCTTTTGAGATGGTTGGTGCGGAAATGTATTGATACATTCATTTTACTACAGTAGTATTCTAGATAAATACATTCTGCATATCTATATACATATAGACTACTCCCCTCATCTAACTCACAATCACAATCACAATTGTCCCCTTAGCCTTCATCATATCACATAACATCAGATCACCCCCTAACCTGCCCCACCCACCAGACTTTAAACAATAACCCCCTCTCTTCACCTCTCACCTCACACCCTCGCTCGTAGCTATACTTCAACCCGCCTCGTGTTTCGATGGCTACCCGCATATCTGCTTTCGCTTATATATTATATTTATATTTATATGTATCTGTATATGCCACGCGTGATGGGGTGAACTTATATGTATATATGTACATATATATACATCTCAAATCAAAAGAATCGATAAATAACAATAAAATAAGAACTAGAGTATTTCCAAGAGAAAGGGGAAAGAGAGAGAGAAATAGAAAGGAGAATATTAGATTAGATTGAGATGTAAATTCATGGAGGGAAAATATGAGATGGAGATGAGGAATATAATCACTTGAGAAACTATAATATCACATTATATCACACTATCAAATCCGCCCAGATTAAAGATACAAGAAATAGGTAGTTTCGCTAAGCTCTGACTGTCGCTCATGATTCAACCTATTCAAGAACACTGACCTCTAATTTCATTTGCATGATACATATGTATATATGATATAATCATTAAATGCTCTCATTAATCAATTCCGTCATGCTAAAAAAAACCGCTATGTCATGCTAAGTCATGTCATGCCATCTGATCATATAATGACCTATGCTCCATACACCCATCCAAATATGTACCATGCTCCAAGCTCCATACACCCCCAATTAACTCAAATCAATACAAATCCATCGTTCTTCCTCCATTTCCCTACTACATTCCTTGATCATTACTCGCTACTCCCTATCATCACCAAACAAATAGCCCGCCTCCAAGCAATATGCTCCACCGTTAGCCATTCCTTTCTCACTTCCCCAACAGACAACCGTCGCATCCACAACTCCACTGAGTACCCCCTCCATAGCCCCAAGCACACCCCAGCCGATGAATCCAGCAACAAGTCCCACAACATATGCATATGCACTTCCTTTGAGACCAGGACCTTCGGGCATACTGATAGACAATTGACGAGCAGTTGCTACCCAACCACCGAAACCAAGGGCCATGGACATAATGATACGGGTTGCATGAAGAAGCAGTTTAGCTAGACGGTTAAGGCAGTAAGTAAGGTGTTGTGGCGTGAGTTCGAGAAAGAGAAGGATCGTGGGTTAACGTGGTTGTAGGAGCTTGAGGTGTGAGGAATGTCATTTGACTTAGACCTCTTGCGGAAGTTTGAAGAGGTTGTGAGTGGATAGCAGCATAGGTGAGGGTAAGAGGATTGAGCAATGCTGTCACTGGTGCTGGTACAAAAGAGTATGCAATTATCGAAATAGCCGCCACCAATCGTCGTGGAAACACGAGGAGAGGAAGCTTAATCAAGAGAGCTATTAATGATGATAGACATATGGTACCGAATATCGTATTCGTCGAGTGATAGAATGCTGCCGCAACAACTTCTCGAGATGAAGCTCCTGTCTGCGCATTACGGTGATAATACCATTGAGAAACTGTTGCAGCAGTGGTAGTTCGCTGAATACCCCCAATCACGGAAAGAGTCCAGATGTACATCATTACGAAATATACACCAAGCCACCAAGTTGTTGCATCAATAATGAAACTCAGCCCTGACTTCGAGAGATGACCACCCAAAAATACCCTCGTAAACATTCCTAACCATATCCATGTCCATACTATAACCGACCCCAGCGTAGCGAATCCCAACGCGAGCAGACCAGGATTCGAAGCAAGAATTCTCGACGCAAACTCTAGAATGCTGATTGCTTTGGTCAATGATTGACGTCCTTTATAAATAGTGTATAGCCAAAGCAAAGCAAGAGCTCCAGGTCTAACCGACATCCCTCTCACTAGCCCTATCTTGTACACCAGTTCGATCGTTTGACCCCTTTCATACAGCGGACACCATAGGATACAGTGAGAACGAAAACAGTATGACTGGTACCGCGAGAACAATCAGGAATACCAATGGACGAACGAAAGACCGCAGTAACGCAAGCCAGATGAATGATACAATTATTGATGCCAGGGTATCGACTGCGAATAGATGGAATGAAGAATGGAGAGTGGTATATATCGTGTCTCCGAGCACTCCGTCAGGCGTTGATGTGTGGAGAAAGATTAGGAAGAAAGTTGCGAAAAGTGAAGCCAAGCATATCAAAAATAATGACCCCCAAAAACATGTCATGCTTTGGCCCTTCCAGTTCGTCTGAGTGTAGGAATTGCTACTGGAACAATCTCCACTTCATTCGGTCGCATGGGGAATCGCGAACCAGGTAATTGTTGCGACTCGATATCTCTCTCATTGCCTCTGATGGATTCATCTGTAAATCGGGTTGTGCCAGATTTTGGCCCAGATTTGAATTGTTGAAATGCTGGTGGATTATCGTCACCCATATCATAATCCGGTTCACTTGGCGGTAAGCTGTCGGCAATTGTAGATTCTAGTCCAATATCGACCATTCTTCCCTTTCCTTTACTACTGCTTCCCTGACTGCTTGGTCGCCTGCTTTCGTCATCATGTTCTTCCCCAACTGTTTCCGGTGTGTGGCCTCGCTCTCTTGTACTTCGGATACCGCCCTTCCAACTACTTTTGATTCCTCGTGGACGTTCCCGATGATCACCTGCGATTCCATCATCTTTACTATTCCCCAGAGCTATATCACTCCCGTCGCGCTCTGTTTCCTCGCTTTCTTCCAGTTCTCTCGTAGGTGCAAAAACCCTCCGTGATCGTTGAAGCGCAAAGAAATCTGCAGTCTCCCTCTCTCGTTCCTCTTCCTCATCTTCTTCCTGAAAATCATTCAAGGCGCTGTGAAATAACGGGGCATCAGGCGGAGCTTGGGAATATCGAGAGGTAAATCCAAAGTTTGGGAGATGTGATGACTGATAAGGATTTCCTAGTCCTCTTTGGTGTCTGGAACTTCGTAAAGGCTGCGACCGTTGATAACGTTCATTTGGACTTCGAGTTGGGATTTCGTTATCCTGTTGGACGAAATTGGAGAATCGAGACTGTGACTGAGCTAAGAAGCGCGAAGCATCTGGATGATATAATGGTTAAATGAATGCACAAGGCAAATGGGGCAAGTGAGCAAGTTTACTTACATTCTGAAAACATCTTCGACCCTCAAGAACAAAGTTGTGTGTTGGAATATTTTGTCTGCGATGAAGTTGAGGAGTCGAGGTTATTGATAAGGACTCTCTATCTACAGTACTGCGCAGTCTTGTGGGTCTTTTGTGAGAGCTTGAAACGGTACTCGCAGGCTGCAGTGCGGTAGATCAGTTGTAGTCTGGGGTTGGTAGGGTATCTTGTAACCGATGAATGATATAAAGCTTGTGATTAGGTATTCCAAGTCGGTATTGGAAGTGAATACTGTAGAGGGTATTTGTATGGGCAAGACCTGGTTTAGAACAATAATGGATGCCCCGTGAAGGATAATATTGTGAGATATCAGTCACTTGCTTGCGTGCTGGGGGTTGCTGTGGGCGAGTCAAGACTTATGATAGCGGAGTGCCGGGAGCCTCAGTCGTGAATCATATAAAATCACGAGGCAGGCGTACCATACCGCATGGGGATCTAGGGAGAATGGATAGGTAGAATGAACTCGTCCTCCAGATAAGGATAGGATATGATGGGAAAGGATAGGACGTCGAGTTATGCGAGAGTGTAAATCTTTGGGTTTGGCTGATGAAGAATTCCTTGGTCTCTGCAAGAGGTGTATGACGAGAAGAGAAAGGAGAAGAGAAGAGAGAGAGAGAGAGAGAGAGAGAGAGAAGAGAGAGAGAGATGAGGGGAGAAGAGAGAAGAGAGAAAGAAGGAAGGAGCAAGGATGTAAGAATGCAATGAATCTACTCGTATATATTCATTATTTGTTTACCTGATACTGGTGAGTCAATCGAGTGATGGTGAAGATTGCATTGCATGATCACTCCTCGCTCCCTCGTAGATACCAAAACATCCATCTCCAGAATCCTTTCCTTTGTTCACCGCCCCCAACCAACCCGGCCGACTTCTCCAATCCGAAAATATAACGGCTGGGCGCTAGAGGATAATGATTTTCCCTCCGCTTGCATTCCCGAAAGCCACTTTATGACTGGGTTAACGTTAACGTTAACGTGATTAGAGAGAGGTGCCTATGTACTACTGGGTATGGATGGAGTAGCTACCAGTATTTGTATGGTGGGTCAATCAATGAATGATCCATGAACACTCCAGCTCTCCCTAGTAATCTCATCATTGTCTCGACTCTCAACTGCCCACGAGATTGTACTACCATACAACAAACAACTCTGACAAGTTACAACTTTATCATACCCAAACATCCTAGCTATCATTTATTCAGAAACCTCATTGTTATCGAATTATTATCCAATTCGGATTTGACAATCGCTTACAATTCATCAACATCTTCAAGAGCAACATTGTTTATTAAAATTGTCCATTGATTGTTCTGGGTATCAGTCTTTTTTTAATCCCATATCGCAAGCTTACCTAGTAAAGCTCAAACGGGTTCTGCCCTTCCAACACCAGTCTACCACCCCTCCTCGTCCAACGTCAAGTAATGTCTACAACATCATGGGATTATATTGCAAAGCTCGTCTGCATTGGCGATAGTGGAACGGGAAAATCATCTCTCACAATTCGACTTTGCGAAGGGCGTTTTTCTCCGCACCATGACGTTACCATTGGAGTTGAATTTGGATCCCGAATTATCCCAGTTGGTCCACCGAATTCAGAAGGATTTAAACCAAAATCCAGCGCTCTAGATGAAGAGCCAGCACCTAAACCTGCAGCCACAGAATCAGATGTGCCACAGAAACACATGAAGCTCAGTTTATGGGATACGGCAGGACAAGAAACTTATAAAAGTGTTACGAGGAGTTATTTTCGTGGAGCTTCAGGCGCACTGCTCGTATTCGACATCTCGAGGCGACCAACATTTGAACATGTTACGGACTGGCTACATGATTTGCGACAAATTGCTGAACCGGATATAGTTGTTGTGTTGGTAGGAAACAAGAGTGATTTGGCCACAGGCGAGGAGAACAAACGAGAGGTTACCGTGGAAGAGGCAGACGCCTGGGCAAAGCGAAATGGCGTATTAGAGTATGTTGAAACAAGTGCGAAGAGTGGTGAAGGTGTTGAAAATGCATTTGCAAGGGTGGCAGAAAGGATATACATGAACATCGAAGCTGGAAAGTATGACTTGAATGACAGGAGATCTGGAGTGAAGGGTCCTGGCTATGGAGGCTCGAAAACAAATGTTAAATTGGCCCCCCAGAAAGCCAGCAGTGGTGGATGTTGTTGAGCAAAATGAGGCACACGAGGTCAAATCTGCCACAGTATACGCGGGCATACAGGTATGATCTCGATGGCTATACACTACTTACTCAAAGTCTGTCGGCAACCGCAGTTTTCCAAGAAGACTTTGTATATATTCTAGTGCGGGACTGGATAGTCTTCAATACCTTGTATGATAGGAAAGGTCCGAAAGGTTTCGGAAAGTTGGCTTTAATATACCCAAAGCATGAGAATGATATCATGACGATGAAAGCAATATATTTTATTTTTACTTTTATTACCCTTATTACTCTTTGAAGTGCTAGGATATCTGTGAGTTTTCATTTCAATAATACGGAAAGACTCTGAACACATGGCAAACGTTTGAGAAGCCTCTTGATGTCCTCTCCCATGGATGATAGCACTTTCTCATGATATCTTCTATATGCTCTGCTTGGCCCAGTCAAGAAAAGGTTTTGATAAGAAATCATGAACCGTTATCTCCATGAATAAGCACTACCTGAATATATAGTGCCAGTGCCAGTACCAGTGATTGTTGTTTGGATGGTTGCATCAATTCTACTCGCATGTGATATGTTGTGTGGCATAAGACCATAGGCCACTCGGTGATTTTCTCGAGGTGATAATCTTCCTTCATGATGAATATACTTATGAATATACTTAATAGGCAGCTTTCAACCTAGCAGACCACAGAAAGAGAAGTCATTGATGAAATGAAGGATGTTACGATTCCTAGTTTCCAAATGGACATTTGCCTATCAAGTAGACATCGATTCTGACAGTTCATAAATGCTCTGGATTGACTTATTGTGTATTCATACATGATGACTGTGTACATAGGTAGCTTAGCATTATTTAGAAGAATAAGGAAGTTGGAATAATATAAATACTAGTAGGTACCTTCGCAGTAGTATAATCATAAATTGTTTGGAGTTTCTCTTCTCTTCCATTGAATAAGAGAAAACTCACATCTGCTTATCAAGAGGAATATAAGAATCAGCCTCATCACGCATGGAAGCCTAGCCAGGTATCCCACTATTTCCCCATCCCCTCATGATTTGACTAGAGCGAAAATAGAATTCTGCCAAACATCACCGCTTATTTAGTGACCTCTTCCCTTCATAATCTCTGAAGCACTTTCCAACAGAAACCCCGCCCAAATTACTTCATAATCCTTCCTTCAACAACTTCACCATTTTATCATACTTCTTCCAATACTTTCAATATTCCAGTAATTAATTCAAGATCATAATCAGAAATAATAATATAATATCTCATCAAGAGATATTGGAAGAATTTACTTCAGAAATCATGGCGAATCACTCCGTTATTCGTATTGCGAAGGTAAATTCATCAAGCCAAACCCATGTGATGATATCACGATATGCGCCAAAAGTGGTAATGAAAGCGCAAGGCTGACAACACTTTTTGGGTGATTTAGGAGTTGGCAGATATCCAGAGAGGTCCAGATCTATGTAAGTCAATATATGTTCTTCAGAAGTTTACTATTCTCTCCTTGAACTTTTACTAACTATTTAATTCTACAGCTCTCGCTGTTGCTTGTCGGGATATCGATGTTCGAAGCGTCAAAGCAATTATAATCGGCCCCACCAGATTACACCTTACGAATTTGGTTTCTTCGATGTTGGTCTATCCAATTCATAAAAAGTTTCTTTCTGCATATGGAATACTGACATTTCTCTAGTTTGGTGTTAGATTTGGAAAAGGTACGATTTTGCGAAAGGGTTGCACATCAATTCGAAGCTGAAAAAGTTCATGTAGATTATCCCACAAAAGCACCTAGTGTTATTGCGACAACTACAAATGGAGGAAGATGTCGTTTCAATCCCAATATTTATGCGACAGGCAAAGTCTGTTTGTAAGATACCCTTTATGCCATGATACTTTCAACATTTACTGACTTGCTTTGAGATCAATTTTAGGGTAACTAACAATCTTCGTACAATTCCTCTGGATCTCCGAAACTAAATTGTACAATAGCACATGGCGAGGTGAAAGAGGAGAAGAGTGGTCATCGGCACAGGGACTTGAGTCAATTTTAATCTCAATCCAGAGTTTAATGTCGAGCAATCCCTACGAGAATGAACCTGGTTTCGAAACGGCAAATGATGACCATGACAGGAAAAACCAAAAGGATTATGCTGCAAAGGTATGCTTGAACTATCAAGGCTCTTTGTACTGGTATTGGTACTGATAAGGCTAGATTCGCCATGAAACTCTACGAATCTCAGTCATTCAACGTCTTGAGGAATACTTGAACATCTCCGCAGCAGGAACAACTCCACCATACACTCCACCAAGCGAGGATAGCGACAGCGACTTAGATCGAGATGTACTTGATGATTCTGCCGTTGCATTCGAACCCTTCAAAGATTTTTGCAAGCGTAGGTTCTTGTGGTATTATGATTCGTACTTGACGGCTATAGAGAAAGCAAGAAAAGAGGTTAAGGATCTTCAACCTTTTGCTCGAATGCCCTTTGAGGGTGGTGGAAATATTATGGAGGGAAAGTTCGACTACACTGAGCTCGAGAGACGATTGAGATTCATTCGTACCACTTTGGATGCCGAGACGGCTCATTGGGCTACCGAAGGATTGTTATCACAGAAGAAGGAAAGTGGTGTGGCAGCAAATCTTCAACGTCAATTCGAACAAGTGGTTGAAGCATACAAGAGGGACAAGTCCGTAACCCTGGACATTGAACTAGACAATAAGAATCCTTTTGTATGGAGTATTACCTATTTCGGTCGCCCCATGACCAATCTAGATGGCGGACTATTCAATATTAAGCTCTACTTCAGCCCAAGATTTCCAGAAGAGCAACCAAGAGCCAAATTTCAGACACCATTATTTCATCACCGGATTGGACTTGATGGAACACCTTGCTATACCCCCAAACGCCCCGATGATGCAAAATCTCATATCGAGTCTATCATTGAAGCTTTAGAGGAAGTTTCACCACCATACGATCCACGGACATTGGTAAATGTGGAAGCTTCCAAACTCTTCTGGGGATCAGTGGATGATAAGAAGAATTATAATCGAAAGCTTCGGAGGTCGGTCCAAAGTAGCATAGAGTAAGTTGGTTTCCAAACCAGACTTTAATACCGTGCGATATTTCGAGCAGTTTTCAATTTTCGGGTGTGTCATATTTTTTTTCATATCACGGCCTTTTTTATACATAACAACAATCTTCTCGGACTTCGACTGCCTAAACATTGGCTTGGACAAAGCATGGCGTAAATCAGCGGGAGTTTTCTTCATCATGTTTTCTATGGGCTGGCTGGTCCCAGAGGTTTTATCTTCAAATCAAGAGGCCCACTTCAACTTTTAACAGTGAGCCGGGTTAAACGAATTGAGCTGGGTTGGCATGGCTAGGATTCGACGATATTATATAGTATGGATGGGAGGTTATGATATCCGTGTATTGAATCAGGATTGGCGTTATGAAAAAATATGGGTAGGGTAATGGGGTAATGGGAGGAATGGAAGGGCTGGGTTGCTATGGGATATGATGGATTATTTGGCTATTTCTTTTCTTTGCTGCTCCTTGAAGAGACGATGGGGTTGCTCGAATTATGGTGGGGTTGTAATAATGCTGCAAATTTAAAAGGAGAATAAGCGAGACGGCAGAACAGAATGAAAGACGTAGGGAGGGTCAAGAGAGATTAAGAGAACATAAGAGACAAAATGATATAAGGTTAAATAGTTGAGGATCCATAATGGATCTAAATACAGATTCTGTGAGGTTGAGACGAGATGACTTGTACAAAACAATGACAGAAATGAGTGTATGTTCAACGTGATTATACCTTCTTAGATACACATCCATGGACATTATAATATTTTCTAGATACTGTGACTACCTGAAATTGAAATAATAATTTAGTTTCAGGAACATTTTTGAGATAGGTTTTGTATAGTATTACACGCATGTATTTATTCTTTCGTTTTTCTAGACTTTCGCCTTGCTGAAACCGAAGAGTGGTATGATACTAGGTAGTCTAGGTAGGTTGTAATCTTACATAAAATTGAGTTTGTCATATTCACGAGAAGCGATTGCCTCTTGTTCTTCAAGATATATGTAAATTCCTTTTCTGACGTTGGAGTGCCATTGTTCCACTCAAATTGAAACATTCATGTCTCATTGTCCCAAATGTTATCGGAGATTGATTTTCAAGGTAGCGAGTCGAGTTTCGTATTTTCGGGTATTTCTAGTACCTAGTGAGAAACATCGACTCCCTCCCTCCCTTCCTGTCAAATCTCACATTGTATAGTGTAATGCAGGATTGTGCATATTTCAATGCCATAAAACGAATTTCATAATGGTATATGTATTCCTCGAAATCTCAACCATACCCAATCCACGCTCCCACCCGCTCGTTTCTTTCAACGCCAACCCCCTTTTAGACCTCCGCCGGTTCCGCCTTCTTCTTCTTCGGCTCCTCAAGCACAATATTTTTCTTCGGAATATTCTTATAATTCTTCATCAAAAACTCCCTCACATCTTCACTCACATCGCCCTGCACCGTGATTTCCTGTCCTCCGCTTGCTACCTTCGTCACACTACTTCCCGTCGCGAACCTAGATCCGAATTCCTTCGCAACCTTTTTGAGCTCGAGTCCAAAGGCTTCGAGTCCCTGGACTTCGGTTACGTATTTGCGTTTGTTGCGCTCAACGCGCTTGATGCGGATTTTGGAGGACGCGAGAGTTTCGTTTTGCTTGGCTTCGAGAGCTTCGGCTTTGGCGGCTTTTTTGGTGGCGTCTTTGGCGGCGCGTTTTTGGGCATCGACGCTGAGGGTTGAGGTTGCTGCTGCGAGGGCATCTAGAAGGAGGAGAGTTAAAATTTAGCATGCAGCACATGTGGAGCAAGAGAGAAAGTGAGCTATACCTTCAGACCATAATCGCTCGTACATGGTGGGATATTTCTTCTCGAGCCATTCTTGACATTTCTTTACTGTGCCGCCGTATTCGCAATACTAATTGCTTTTTGTTAATGATCTTGTCCTTGGTATCCTCATCCCTTTGTTCAAGTTAAGCCCCAAGCCCCATGAAGTATAAGAGTAATGCCTACCTCAGGTGGTAACGAACAAACTATTCTCTGTGATTAGCCTTCATGAAATCAAGATAGCGGGGTCGTTCATTCATTTGTAAACCTACCTCCACAATAAACAACATTTCTTGATTGAATTTCTGCCGGCGCAGTGGATTCTTCTACATCTGCCATATTTTCTTATGAATCTATGTGTATTTCGTTTTGAATTCTTCTTGGTTACAATGATGATTTTTGTATATATTTGGAGGGGGAAACACTTGACATGAGTTATGGATGAGCTCAAGAACCGTAATGGTGGGGTAGTTTTTCCGAGGGGGCTAGCGGCCGCTTTAGTCCGTGCCTTGGCTTGTCTCTACGTAAGCGAAAAAAAACAGGCGGAAATTGAGTACCTTTTCAAAGGACTTTTTTAATAGATTATAAATTCATTTCAAATTAAATATTGAAAATTTTATAAAAGCAAACGAAATTTGAGTCTTCTTTGTATTGATAGTAAGTAGTTGTATTATTTAATATTATATCGAAAGAGATCTTAGTTGTTGAAGGTCTTCTCAAATAGTAGTCAATTCCCGCCTGTTTTTTTGCTTACGTAGAGCTTGTCTCCTATCATAAGCGGGTGTGAATATTCATGCTAATTACAGAAGAACTCCTCGATTTCAATTTAATCATCAGATAATTTACTCACACTGTAGCGACATCCGTAGGACTAATAGTCAGCTCTCATAAACGGCCAACTAGTTCCTAATCAGGGAAAACGAATATCCCCGGAAAGCGAATTGTCCTTATAAGATTTTGAATACAAAATATTACTAAAATCATTTCAATTTTATTAACAATTTAATTCATTTTTAATATATAACCTTTAATTTTAGAATAATTCTTAAACTTTTTATATAATTATATTCAATAAGATTATAGATTTTTAATGATATTAGATTTTATCTAAATTACTTCAAAATTTATAATATTATTATAAAATTCGAATTTTTTTCAATGAAAATGATAAATCTATTATCAAAATCTCATAAGAATAATTCGCTTTTTGGGAATATTCACTTTTCTTAACTAGAAACTAATCGGCCGTTTATGAGAGCCGACTATTAGCGGGGCGTCATCAATCGAGAGATCCAAGTAGCTTTCATGGGGGGCAAGCCTACAAGCCCTCCACCACTCTTTGCTCCCTGCGCTTGAATTAAGAATGAATCTTTGTGCATCTTTGAAGGTTCAAGACCATACAAGATATCATCTATCAGACAAAACATAAATCTTATATAGACACCAACCAAGAGAGCATACATTACGAACATTGAGAATTCAAATTTCCCTACATAACATCAGGTGCATACAATAAAAGACTTTTTATTGGTATCAGAAAATCAAACGCCAGTCATCCTTCCCTTCCTGTTATTCCAGAGAAGCTCAAGCAGTATTCTTTCGCCTTCCAATGCATACCCCAGAGAAGCCTATAGAATACAAACCCCGTATTACTCCAATCGCTAAAGATAAATTAAAACCCGTCATTATCCATTTCCGATTCAAGCGGTCAGATTTTTCATTTCCTTATCAACCATTAAATCCAAATCATAGCATCAAATCAAAATCCCAATGTTCAAAACAACAAGCCACGATATCGAGGTTCTATATGCCCTATGGCGTTGATTAAAAAGGGGTCACAGCCCTTAACATTCTTAATCAAATACCATAGAGGAAGTTCCCCACTCCAGAGTAAGAGTGTTCTCAACTGAGGGTCAGTGCTTCATGAACAAAAGATGAGTCGAATTTGGTGTAACAATGTATGAGATTGCAGCTGTTGAATTGACCTCAGCCTCTCTTTCTCAACACTCTTCCAACAGCAGTGCTGGCTGGTTGTATGGGTTGCGCAGGTGCAGGTGCAGGTGCCGCATTCTTGAGTCTTGCAGCAGGTGCCTTTTTAACAACAGTTTCAGTACTAGTATTGCTCACATTTCTTCCTCGTGTAGTCTTTGGACCCGAAGTTGCGGTATTGGATCTTGCTCGACTAGTAGCAGCTCCAGCTGGATTCGTATGTGGAGCGACTTTTCGTCCTGCTCTTGTAGGCGGACGAGATTCTGTAGTGGATTTGACGGGTGGTGCGGGTTTTATTGGCGAGGCAGGTAAAGTTCGGGAGTTAGCAGATCTAGGTGAAAGTATTTGTTTTGGGTCCATATTGACACGAGAAGTGGTACGTTCAGGCAGATTAGGAACAGCCTTTTGACGCTTCTTCGGGTTGTCAATATTGTTTTCTTTGTCCAGACTTGCCTCGTCACTTTGAATTGTTAGTATATGTTCCTTAATCTTATGGGGAAAACATACCTATTCCTTTTGGTAGTACGAGATGGTGCTGTGACCTGAGTACTTGGACCACTTTCTGATTCCTCCACTGGAATCTTCTTGTGTGTGTTTTTTGGAGTGTTCTTTGCTGGGACTGGCGGTCCCACTTCCGAACGCGCTGCTTGTGCGCCAGTATTGTTGTGCTTCTCAAACAAATCCCCAATGTTCTTTTTGCGCATTGAGATAGGTATGCGATTGACGCGAATTTCAATACGCGTTTTTAATCCTTGAGCTTGAACATTATATTGTGCTCTGAGCTTTCTAGCACGTTCAGTAACTATCCAAATGCAAAATTAGTATACAATTTGACGCGTTTTAGGAATGAGTTCCTCACTTTCCAACTGCAAATTCTCCATCAGAGCTTGCTTTTGGCCTGTTGTGATAGCCATTTCGCGTAGGCTATTATATGTATGAAACTTTACAAATTTCTTTAATTATCCGTACGAACAATTGCGATTCGATTACTTCTGAATTGTTGTGTTGTGTGAATACAATTGAAGCTGTGAGATGTTGTATCGTGAGTGTAGAGTGTAGAGTGTAGAGTGTAGAGTGTTGTGATGTTGATTGAGAATAAACATCATCATCACTTTGTAGATTGTTATCCGTTTCATTATCGAAGTCGCTTGCTAAGCGCCACAGATGTGTGGCTAAACTTTCTTGCTCCCCAATTCTGAAGATATTACAGGGATTGGCACCTCTCCGAAGCTACGGATGCTTGCTGTACTTTAGCATTAACGCGCAACCATAGCTACCTTGAGCAACCTGCAACCTTAATAACATCAACATTCTTTATCGCCATCAACAGATTAACTCATACTTACTACTTACGATCGTCCTCTACCATACATCCGGCTCCATTACTCAAATACAACTTCCAAAAGAAAGATTTCGCACATTTGCCAAACGGCAGCCAATCCGACAAGATGGTTCTCGAAGCAGTAATGGTTGTGGTGGATAACAGTGAAAGCAGTCGAAATGGAGATTATACACCAACACGTTATGAAGCGCAATCAGATGCCGTTTCTGGATTTTTCTACCATCACTCAAGCCAATCCAGAATCTTCAGTTGGTTTAATGTCCATGGGGGGTAAAGGACCAGAGGTTCTTGTCACCTTAACAACTGATCATGGAAAGATCTTGGATGGATTACATCGTACTAAGACTAAGATTCGTGGATCTAGTCACTTAGCTACTGGTATTCAAATCGCTGGTGTATGTATCATCTCTTTTATAATCTTACCTATTGTCCGGGCATGCTATTGGAGTAAATGCTGATGTAGATATTCTCATAGTTTGGCACTCAAACATCGACAAAACAAATCCCAACGTCAACGCATAATCGTTTTTACTTGCTCTCCTATCGCAGAAGACGAAAAATCACTTGTCAAGCTCGCCAAAAAGATGAAGAAAAATAACGTTTCGATCGATTTCGTTGTATTTGGAGAACTTGATGATGATGTCACCAAAAAATTGACAGCCTTCAATGAGAATGTCAAGGGAGGTGATGGATCACATTTGGCCATCATTCCACCAGGACCTCAGCTTCTTAGTGGATCAGTAATGACTTACCAATTCTAAATGGGGATGGAGCTACAGGAGGAGTTGGTATGGGTGGAGCCGAAACAAGTGGTGATGCAGGCGCATTTGAATTTGGTATCGATCCAAGCGTAGACCCAGAGTTGGCATTAGCATTGAGAATGAGTATGGAGGATGAGAAAGCTCGGGTTGAGAAAAACGAGAAGGATCGACTAGAGAAGGAAGCAGCGGAGCAGTCTGCATTAGGAGAGATTAAGGAAGAGGATGAGGCATCTGCACCTCTATTGAATAAGGACGGAGAAGCTAGTGGGAGTGGAGACAAGAAAGACGATGATAAAATGGATACGGCTTAGATGAGGAGTTGAAGTACATGGCGGGGAAATGAATGGATGGATTGCTAATTGAATGAATGGTTGGGGCTGCATGGCAAACTGGCGTTTGGTATGTACCAATAGATATCATATACAATGGTATTTGGCTCTTTTGCAACAAATTACTTCTAGTTTGTATACTCCTTGACTCCTTTGAAGTTTGGCCTGTGAAATATCGGCGCGTATGCTCAATATAATGCTTAAGTCCCAATAAGTTCCTTCTATGCCCGAAATTATGTCCACATTTCCCTTCGCCTTCTCAGTCCTAATGTGAGAGATCTGATCAGGTACTCCTGTATCCTGTATCAGATCCAGAGACATTCCCCGCTTCTTCAATAAGTGGGAATACAACCTCTGAGCCCACGATACCACCTCGCTTTTCCCCAAGTCCGTTGGCTCTCCACGTGAATCCATCGATCCATCGATCCATCTGCCCATAACCCCCTTCCAAATTACCTCATGTTAACCCCCCTGACCCACCTCTCCACGCCCCTCTCAAACCTCTCACACCTAACCGGCATCTCTAACTGATAAAACGGGTTCTTCATCACATAATCCGCATACAGTTCGTATATCTTCCTCAATATGCTATCAACATTTGGCATGCCAGGTTCAGTAAATAGGAGAAACTTCGTGCCAGTGAGAGTCTGGAAACATTGGAGTCGGAACAAAGTCGTTTCGAGCACTTCGATGCCGGAAGGTGGATCTGGTCGGTCATCGGATGTGGGAGTGGAGGAGAGTGAGGAGAGGGTAGAGAGCGTCTTGGAGTGGGATGTTGAAGGAAGAGAGGAGGCACCTGTTGAAGCGAGGTGAGAGGATGGGATGGGGTTTAGTCGAGTGGAAATAGCGTGGACTCTAGGGACTTGTTAGTGAGAATTCTCAGTAGAAGAAGTTCGAGATGAGTCTAATTGGGAAGTAGAAAGAGAGAAGCCCATGTACCCGTGAAATGTTCCAGCAAGCACCAGATAGTCATTTATAGATAGTTTGTTCAATCCATCTGCGAAATCTTTTTGGTAGATAAGTCCACCAGCTTTATTTATTATTGTGAGGGCAAAGACGACCCTACGGATTGGGTATTAGAGTCACGATTCTGAGACTTCGTGGGGAGAATTGGGAGTAGAAACTTGCATTTGATATTTGATGCACTGCTAAGAGCAATCGATAGGAAAGAAGCTGAGAGAGTTATTCGTAGTAGAAATCAATTGTTCGTTGCAAACTTCGCATTCGTAACCGTCCTTTTATTCTGTCTACACAATTCAAGAATCAAAAATTGAATATCGAACTCGGCGCATTCATTAAACATCCACAATATAAAGTTCGAGATGCATCAAGATACTGTTGTCTGTAGCCTCGTCCCAAAACGGCTAAGTAAGCAGCCCTTCCCCGGATTTCGAGGAATTTGCGACCAGCACATGTTTATTGATAGATCGGCCGCAACTTAACTTTCTTTCTTCCTTTCAAGTCAACAAAATCACTTTACAGCAAAACACGTCGAGTCTTTGCACAAAGTTGATTTGGAAAAGTTGGACGCGCATTTCAAGGAAAGGATTGTTTCTTTAATTACACAGGTTAAATCGAGACAACACAGTCAGTCAGAAAGAACAGCCAAAGTTATCGAATCCCGACCCTCCCACAAACGACATCCTTCAACCTTTCTCGAACCTACCTCTCCTTCGAAAACAATGGCAGCACCTGCCCCTACATCTCGCTCTCGCGCTCCTCCAGCAGGTGACGAAGAAGCATCCACCGTTCTGAAGCTCGGAGAATTCCAAGATGTAGATGCACTTACTCATTCTGAAGCCGCACTCGTTATCAACGCGCTTGTCGCAAAGCGTCGTGGTGATCGCAAGAATGTTAATGAGACTGAGATCTTGAGTAAGACGCAAGAATACCTGGATCATTTTGCGAGATTCAAGAGAAAGGAAAACGTGGAGGCTGTAGAGAGATTGTTGGGAAGCAGGGGAGAATTGGCGAAATTCGAGAGGGCGCAGTTTGGGTAGGTGACTTGTGGTTTTTTCTTTTTTATGCTTGGATTTCTTGAAGGTTGAAAGGGGAGATTGGGGGGGGGTGGGGGGGGGGGGGGATGGAGAGGGCAGTTTGGGGAAGATGGATAACGAGGGTATCATTGGGAGAAGCAATGCTAACATGAGATGTAAAGGCTCATTATGTTGCGACACGGCCGATGAAGCGAAGACTTTGATACCCAGTTTACAAGACAAAATCAGCGATGACGATTTGACAGAGTTATTGGATGAAATCACAAAGTTGATGGGATTTACGAATTAAGAGGTCCTTTGGATTTGGTTTTGGTCACTAGTTACTCACTTAAATTCGGTATATACTCGAGTACCAGAAGCCACAGAAGACTTTCAGCATGGATTTGATCGAGATTGGTTCGTTGAAGACATCAAAAGACACCTACTACAATAGTAGGCAGCCATGAAGGAAATTGTTTGGAGAACACCGATGCAGATAAAATGGATGGGCGTTGAGAATGGATTTCCGTTACTTTCATAGGACGATCCGTCAAGAAAAGAGCATTGTTGCGGCGTTTTCTTTTTGTGGGTTTAGTTGTAGTTCGGAGAAAATGAGGCATGGGCAGTGCAGGATATAATGAAAAGGGGCATGAAAGGGAGTATGGAAATTGCGGGTATGAAGGTGGTTGCAATAATACGAGGGGCATGAGAAATGTATTGGATACACCCAGATACGTACCCAGTGTGTATTAACACTTTTCTGGCTTTCAGGCCCTTGATGAAGGGACAAGCTGATAGTGGAAATCAGGAGATGATAAAATATGAATGAATCTTTTCATTGCTCTTATTTCCATGACCCAGAGAGCGTGAGCTGAAGGCGTTGAACTGAGGTGATTTGATATTTGGGTACTTTACCACTTGGAGCTCAATTGGGTGCTGAACCAAACAGAATGAACGTAACATCATCTTTTTCAATTGACTATTTGTCTTAGAATGTCTATTCAGCCAGCCAGAAATGACAGTTTCTGCCGATTTTGCAGTTTTGTAGTTTTGCAATTCTACGGAAAGTATCTGCGGAACCATACCTTACAATTATCATCACGAAATATCCTCTACAAATACTCCATATGTATACACCCAGCGGGTAAGTATACACTTTACTACTCGAGGGGGGTGTGTCAGTGAAATTTGGCTAGCATAATATCGCTTCTCGATTTTGTTGGGTTTCGAGGTCTCCAGTGATAGCCTGACCCTGACTCGATTTGGGTACAGTCTGATCCCCAGAATTGCGGCGAAAACAGGCAGAGATAAGGGAACACCCAGTCCCTTTAACCAGAATGTATTGACATATACGCCAATTAGATGGCTTGTCCGTACTTCCTCCAGTCCAAGCATCTTCGAAACGTTGAGCGCGGTCTCTCCAAATTGGATTTCGAGCCTCTTTCATCGATGCTACTGTGGCAAGGGATAGTCTTTGTTTGGTATGCTTAAGCAGAGCCGTGGATCTTCCTATGATGCCTATCATACCAAGTGCTCGGTAAAGCAAGTATTGTACCAATCTCCAATCCGACGGCTTATGTTCGATCTCCCTATGAACCGAGAACTTTTCAAAAATGTAGGCTCTTTTCCCCCAGGTAGTGTGTGAAGCCTCCATTTCCATCATCGAGATTGCAAAGACAACAAATCTTTGATGCAGTGCTCGTGATAAATTCATGAAGCTGTCAAGATTGAAAACTATGAAGTATGTCGACAGTCCGACAACGATGGTAACAATCTCCAGTAATCGAAGACTGAAAATCCCATCGTTGATACTCCAAACTGACTTGAGGTGTATGAGTCCTGGCCAATTGTATACTCAGGTTGAATGGGACATTTGCTGAGATAGGAATCGGCTTACCATACAAAACGAAAGTGGCAGGAAGAATATGCTCACAAAAGTCAATAGCTTGACATTTTCTCCCGATTTAGTAGCAGCACGACTTTCCATAACAACACTGACATTGAAAAGCTAGAAATGAGAAGAATTAGTCTAATGAAAATCATGGGAATAGGACGTCGTACTTACGCCATCTCTCATGTCGATAGCTTCTTCTCTCTTGTCGTTTATCTTTTTGCTATCTCCTCCAATCGTTTGAAACATTGCCGCAATTTCTTGCGAGAGGCTTCAACAAGTTCCACCTCATCTCCTTCAATTGGGGTGAGTTCTCTCTGATTAATCAATTTAGATACATTATATATGTTCATTAAAATCACGTCATGCAATTTCTTGAGTGTCGATATTGCCCAAAAATATCGCTTGGACCTGGAAAATGTCTCGTCGTCTAGCAGAAGATAATCGTGCTTGATCGGATCCAAGAACGATATTTTTTGAGTAAACGAGCCGTCAAAATATGTAAGGATCTGCTCCCATTTATAAATCATATAAGAGACGGCATTGATTGCGTAGCGGAAGAAAGTCGACAGAACGTTTCGAGGCGTACCATCGGAATGCATCACTTCAGAGATTGTCTGGCTGAAAATCAATGGCTTATGTTCCAACAAGGTCCAATACTGTTACAACCTCTGTCTGCCAGTGCAACAAGCTGTACGCACAAGTTAGCATATCAATCTTCTAAGGTGCAGTATGCAAAGTACTCACCCGGTACGAGCTTTCCAGTAGAATGCGAAACATTCCACTCGAAAAGTCTTTGTCACTATGCAACCTTCCTGACTTTAACTTTGTCCAAGACATACAAATATATTCCTCCCGCTGTACATTGTGTATTTCAAAATACTTGATATGGAAAATGATACGATCCATGGGGGTAATTCCTCTCACGGCGCACGGGATAGTCTGGGATCTGATATCCTTATCTTCTCTTCGTACGAGTTCTTGAGTAAGAGTTGTTGACCTGAGCTCAGGACATGATATGGAGCTAACAAAGGGGTAACATAAGTCTAACGAAATCTTGGAGGCAATATTTTGACTTACATTACTCTTCTCCATGGACCGACCAATGGTTTGGAGTTTGGAGTTCCAACAGGACATGGTGTGGAAGTAGGATTAAGACAGTGATTACTGTGAGACCCAGCATTTGAGTCCTGAACACCAATGGAATATCGTATTATCTGCCCACTATCAAAAAGGTCAGTGATTGTTGTGTGACCTCTGCATAGCTGTTCATCGTGCGCTATCCGGTCAAGATGTTGCTGGGCATCATCAGATGATGCCAACATCAATAGCCATCGTGTTGAGAATGTTAATCTGAGTCTTCCATCTTCGGGGACCTTGTAAATGTCTCCTACAACACTTTTCCAGCGAGCAATTTCTGAGGATGTGGCCAATCGCGGAACTTCGTCTTCGATTACACCTTTTCTTCCTAATCTCTCAAATAAAATCGCATCATTGTGGTAGATTTGTATGACGTCCAATGGTAATGATATTGCTCCCTGAATTCCATGCTTCAGTGGCACTGCGGTGGAATTACCACTCGAACTCTCGTCAGTCTTGTCAACAATCTGAGTTCTTGACGTTCTTCCGTCATTGCTATACACCTGAATGGTATTCCCCTTCGTGATACCTCAATTAGCCGTGATGGACTCTAATTTAAAGATTAACAGAAAGCAGCAACTAAACAAACCTACGCCACATATAATAGGCTTTCCATCCACCAGCTTGGATCTTTCGCGTAGCCCATTTTCTACAGAACTAAGGCGAGTTTCTTGCTTTCTCAAATGAGAAGAGACTTCTCTCAACTCCTTCAATATCTGTTCAAGCACTAATAGTTTGGTATCATCTTGAGCTGACTCAGCAAATTGCTTGGTCTTTCCGATTGTCAATGATGTAGACATCGTAAGCTGAAATTCAACCCAACTTAAAAGGTTTGTCTTTGAGGAACTGAGAGCTCTAGTGTTAAAAGGTATTAATGGAGGTGATGCCTGGTACTTATGCTATCCAATCCATCCAGTGCAACAGATTCTAATAGCACCGCATGGCCTTCAATTGCAAGAGGCTCCACTGGCCATGTCTCTATCCGCAGTTAACTTGGCAAACGAAACATGCAGCCCAAGTATTTCCGTTCTCCTATCTGGTCTTGGAGTGTTGCCCCTACATGGGATTATGCGGTTGCTAATTTTGGCTGCGAAGGAAATTTCAATAAATCAACGACATCAAGCTGGAACAAAAATTATGTATAAGTCTTGTTAATCTTGTGCGCTTGATAATTTGCCGAGACAAGGCTTTGGCGGTGTGGTGTGGCCCGACAAATAACGTGGTTGCACGTAATGCTGTGGTCAACTGTATTACCTCGAGGTGGAGAAACGTAAGGATGTGAAGTAATCATGCGCGCACGTAGTACACAGTCTACGAAATTGTTATAGAAGTTGCAGCGCTCGACTGTTTCATCGTCCTTGCTCTAAGCTAGGAAGGGAGGGCAATTTGCTAATAGTATCTTAAGATGTATGCGATTGGTATTAGATTGGGACTCAATCAATCATAGAATTCAATCATGAGAATTCGCAATGATTCTTTTTGCCTAGTATCAAATCGGTGGCCCAAAAAACTGTACATGTTTCAAAGAATATATTCATATGAGCAGGCATACTATGGTGGATGATGTGAAAGTAAAGATTGTTTCTGGAGTTTCAATAGTCTAGTAGCGACTAGACAGGTAGTCTAGTCTGGGATATTTATAGAGATTTTCAGCATTATAAATAGATGTAAAGTCTGCAATTGGCATATAACCCGAGCTCGTAAATATTGTTCATAAAAACGGAATACAACCACTACTCAGAAGTTCCCAGGACCCGAGGACAGGATCCGAGACAGAAGTGTTGTCGCTTAGTTGAGCATATTAACTCAGGGGCTCGAGACAAACGAGGAACCTCGCCAATTGTTCAAATTCAAATTAAATCGCAAAACAAAACCTGCCAACTACAACTTGTGTGTTGACATAAAATTTTCGAACCTTTAGATGAACCTCGAGCGCTTACATAGGAACAAATATGCCATCAAAGATAAATAATCATGTGAAAGAACTATTTATGGTAAGCGAGAGATACGATTAGCTGTATGCATGGCCCTCACTAAATTAAGCATTGAATAAAGTATCGGTATTCTTAATGAGAGACTCGAATTAGTTTTACATATGTGATGAGCGCAAGATGCAAGGTGATCGTTCATCTGAAGTTCGTGGAAGACATGTAACGATTTAGGTGATCATCAAAAATGGCATGCACATTGCATCATGCGTCATCTTTTTGAACCAAGGTTGGTTTAAACAATCATAATCAAATATCCTTTAAGATATTTCAAGTTAGCTCCCAATTACCGCTCAAAACTCAACCTTTACATCCTTTGCCATGTGCCACCTCCTCAACCGTCAGTTCATCGTCTCCACATCATAGGTCAACCCGTTGAGAGGAACTTGAAAAGATACCGACTCTGAGCTGCTAGTACTGCGAATTTGAGGGCAATTTTTCAGCAATGCGGTAAGCTATGATTCCTCAGTATCGAAAAGTACAACTCAACTCGGATTAGACACTCTATTAATCATTTATGAATCTTCAAAGTGAAAGAATATATTCAAATAGACTCTCACTTTTACACTATGAGAATTAGATAGATAATACTTGAGAAATGCATAATTTTTACCAGAATCCTTAGTAATATAAGGCCGGCATCCAAGTAATTCCTAACTAACTGTAATGCTTATACGTAATCTTACAATAGATAAGAACATGATAAAGGTGAGTATCACGAATGAACAATAGAATACTAAACAAGTCCAATGATAAGCATTTGCTTTGACATAATAATTATATTACGACGTTTTTTGATATGTTCCCCCCCCTCCCTCCCCGTAAATATAGCTATTATAGACTAGATTCTCATCTTTGGATATAGATCCAACAAAGATCCAAGGAGCATGAGAGTAAATTAAATCAAGTGCGGTTTTAGGGAACAAAGATTCGTAATTGACTTAAGGAATATACTTGAGAGTAATTCGTATCTCTCGCTTAATTATCATAACTCGCCACCTACTGATTGTAATATGTTACGGTTCTATAATAGAGAATACATCGAATAAACTCTAGAATTTAATAATATTATTGTTTTTATATAAAAAATAATATAATAATATATCTTTTTATACATATATATAGTTCTATATTCATATAGTATACTAAGAGCAAATCACAATATCACATGATCAGATCACATGATCGTCGCTTAAGAGAGCTCTTAGCCTAGAACGGCCTGAAAATCAATTCTTTATTAGCTCTTTATTAGTTCTTTCAATCCATTCGTAGTAAGATCGACATAGTACTAGCGAAATCGAATAAGGAATAAGAAAGAAAAGCTTTATTTGATGGAATGGCCGGATTAGGAAGAGATCTACGAGAAATAAACTATTGTTTTTATATAAAAAATAATATAATAATATATCTTTTTATATATATATATAGTTCTATATTCATATAGTATACTAAGAGCGAATCACAAGATCACATGATCAAATCACATGATCGTCGCTTAAGAGAGCTCTTAGCCTAGAACGGCCTGAAAATCAATTCTTTATTAGCTCTTTATTAGTTCTTTCAATCCATTCGTAGTAAGATCGACATAGTACTAGCGAAATCGAATAAAGAATAAGAAAAGAAAAGCTTTATTTGATGGAATGGCCGGATTAGGAGAGATCTACGAGAAATAAACGAAAGTGGAAAGCTAGATTAGTAGGAAAAAGCATAAAATAAGGCCTTTTCCCCTCGAATATAAAAAAGAAAATAAGAATATCAATATACTGTTTCATGAAAATCACGTGTTTCATAAGCTATTTAGTTGTTAATACGAGCCAGCTTCCCATAATAGACTAATACTAGTCTAATCCCTATTATATACTATATATATCATATACTCATATACTAGCTCATGACCTACGATATAAACGAAAGTGGAAAGCTAGATTAGTAGGAAAAAGCATAAAATAAGGCCTTTTCCCCTCGAATATAGAAAAAGAAAATAAGAATATCATATACTGTTTCATGAAAATCACGTGTTTCATAGCTATTTAGTTGTTAATACGAGCCAGCTTCCCATAATAGACTAATATTAGTCTATTCCCTCTTATTGTCACGGATCGCACCCAATCGCAGCTGCGATCGCTCACGTGCGCGCTTGCGCACGTACACGATCACGTGTATATAGCTAATATATAGAAGCACTCTACGAGCGCTTTGCTTCCGATTCTGTAGTTGTAGATTCTAAGGATAAATTGTACCCTGCTCTTGTAGTTCTTCTAAGGCAAAGTGTCACATTATCTACAACTCATTATACGATTGCACAGCCATCTGATAGCCGATCAAATAATACCTTATAATTATAATACCTTTTTGAATATATTAAGAACATTCGATATCATTTATAAAAAGAGAGCTGATTCCAAATAAATTTATTTAACAAAAAATAATAAATCCTTAATATATAGAGTTACAAGTACCGCTATTATATTCGACCTATTTATTTCAAAGGAATTCTATCACTCTCCTTCTTTTACCGGCCAAACGCCCCCAGCCGACAATAGTCAATTTTAATAGAATGATGGTTATAATTCTTATAGTTTTAATATAAATACTAATAGATATGGAAAAAATAAACAGTCTGGAAATAACTCCTCAATTGAAGTATTAACTTTTGAGGATAGTATACTAATATATATTCTTTTATTATAGAAAAAACAAATACCAACTTTTAAAGATTTTGAGAACCTACAGAATGAAATCGTAAGATTCAAAGATGAATTGCTATAGTGTAATTTTAATATTATTTATTTATTTCAATCTTTAAGATACCAATAACAATATTATACAGATTTCCTTGTGAATCGCGAAGTTCGGACTTCTAATGTTCCAATCGATTTTATTGAGAGAGTATTTTTTATTATCGGAAAAAGGAAGAATAAGAAAAACCTCTACTCACAAAGTCAGTCTTTGCAATAATCCCTTTTGAGTATTGATAGCAAACCCTTTTCAAATTTAATCGCTTTATTGAATAATCTACAAATTCATCGAATACTTTATTCTTGTTTATCTATTATTGTAATAGAGTATTTATATATTTTAAAGCTTATTAATTTTTTATTCAAATTCAAAGATAATGTAAAATTGAAAATAAGTTTCTGGTAGTTATTGGTTATCAAGCGATTCGAATTTTATAAAAATTCGTTTATCTTGAAAGCACAATAATAATCTTATATAATAGATTAAACAGAAAAAGAGATATAAGAATATGTATTCTTGTTATATACTCAAATATTTTATTTGATAGAATAATAATTAATTGATTAGTTTATAGTTATTTATAAAAACCTAGCCGAAGCCGATTATGTACAAATTGAATATAAATACTGGATTATGCCTAATAATATTTAATAAGGAAATTTCCTAATATAATATTACAGGTTTAGATTATTAGCTATATAGGCGGAAATCATTGATCCGATAACTCTTCTTTGTAATCTGAAAAGAAAAATATCTGATTTCTTTTAATAAGCTATTGGTTTTTATATTAATAAATGCTATACTATTAAGGATCTGATTATTAAGCTTATTAAAATCAATAAATTCAAAGTTATATTTCGAGAATGTAATTGTTATAGAACGATTAAAGAGATATTTCTTAGAAAGCTATCTAGTAATATCGATTTGTTGATTACCTCTAGAAGTATTCTCCACTTATCGAATAATTCGAACCTATCTATTCAATTTCACATTCAATATCCTCCTCGCACTCTTACTAACTATACAGAAACCTTTAAGTTAAATAACACTCTATTTCTAGAAACAATTTCAAT